CAGATCAAAATATTTCTTTCTCTAAAGTTGGGAATCAGAATATATTTAAGGAAACAAACCATAACCCATCCCCTTCTCAGATTTGAATGATCGTTCCCTAATGTAAAGATTTTCTACAATGAAACTTGTTTGAACATACATGTACTATGTTTGACTGAACTTGCATCCTAAAATCTTAAAGTAAGCTTTTCCTGAATCTCAAAGTAAGCGCTACACATAGATTTTTGGCGGCGAATAGACCTTAAAAGACCATTTTGAAAACTACATTGAGGCAAATGAGGCAAATGCCTCATGTTGGAAATTTCCAAAAAAAAAAAATAATAAGTTGAAACAAAAGCTTGTCTTCATATCAAATTGTTTTACGGCGATTGTCTTGCAAGAAGCAAGTTCTGTTCACCCTCTGACGTCGTCCCTGTTTTTTCGGGATCCATGTTTCTTATTTATTTTTAGTTTTAAGTGTTGATTGTCTATTGTTTGTCGTTATGTGTCTTATATCTGTTCCCAGGGTTGTCTTTTGATTTCATTTGTAAATTAGTAATTTTGTTTTAAACTTGAGTTTTATTATATTTAAGGACCTTTTGTCTAATTTTAAAAACTACTTTAAATTGTAAAAATATTTGAAATTAGCTCTCGCTTTTTTTTGTTCTGAGGTGGCTTTAAACAAACACCAATCAATCAATCGATCTTTATGACTATGGCTTCAGTTGTCTAATATTCCTTGTTGTGAACGTTAATTCTCTGCTTTGCGTAGACTTAAGACTTGGGAAAGATCTACGATGACTAGTGAACGGCCATGTGTGGTTTGGCAATGTTACATGCCCACCGATGTCCAGATATTGTTAGAGAAAATGCTTTTAGAAGATAAGATGCTATCGGACATAGAAAATTTGTCAGTTTTTCATGGAAAATTTAACTTTATATTAAAGAATACAAAACTGGCTCTCTTTTCTGTAAATAAAACTAAAAAGCTGACATGGGTTAAATTAAAGTGAGACAACCCAATCTCCTGGAATCAAATCATTTAAAAAGAAAATAATGTATTGCCATATGACCTTTTACATTGAAGGACTTAACTTGCATTGAGCCGTGTTCAGGCCCTAAAATAGAAAATAAAGGGACATGGAATAAATGTGCATGGGACAAAATCGCACACAATACATAGAAAAAATACAAATTATCAATGGAGGGTCTTCAACAATGAACAAATCATTCATACCCTACAACAAGGTCAAGACGGCCCCTAGCGTCGACTTAAGCGGTACTTAAAGTATTGTACTGTGAATAAATTTTAAAGTCACAAAAATATTACACCAAAGTCTAAACACAATACAAGACCAGAACAGACAGATTTGACATTAATTAGCCGGTATACATATTAAAACTGCACAAAAATGTAGCAATGAGGTCTATATATTATAAGAACTGAGTCTACCCTGAGGGTACACTTTTATCCCAGTTAGGAACTACATCAACTTGTAATTGAAATATGTTATAAAAACTGAATTCACATAGTTATATCAATGATAATCAGCCCCCTCTTAGCTTAATTTGAAAAAAAAACATAAAATTTCTGCAAGCCAAAACTCAATAACAAAAAAACAAAAAAAACAGCAGCCACACACTTGACTGTGAATTACGAATTTTGCTTTATCCTACATATCGGTCTTTTGATGTTGTCCATAAAAACTAAAAAGTCTTACACTGAATCTATATATTTTGCTTTGAGACCAGAATATTGTCAAAAAAATAATTAAAACAAAACTTGCGTTTTAGTTTAAGAAAGGGTCTGGGAAACGCTCAGAATGCACGATTTTGCGTCATTTTTTCCAGACCCCTCACCGAAAAATTGTTTGCCTCACTTTTAAAAAAGGCTAGTTACGGCCCTGTCTTATCAAAGCATTGAATTTGCAAAGGGACAGGGGCTCGCAGTACCTCTAAAGAAGATATTGAGTTTCTTGTGAAGGCATGCATAGACATGCGTTTCAAACACAGCTTAGTCGTTAGTTTTCTCGTTTGAATTGTTTTACATTTTTCATTTCGGGGCCTTTAATAGCTGACTATACGGTATATGGGTTTTCTCATCGTCGAACGCCATACGGTGACCTATAATTGCTTTTATCTTGAATCTGCGTCTTTTTAGCTCTGGTGGATAGGTCACTTGGTGTTACATAGGCAATCATTCAACATCTCCATACTTTTATAATCTTGCAATTTAGTGTGATTGTAACATTAGAAAGTACACGGAATACAGACAGTGGGTAATATTAAGTGTTTGATCTTTGTTTAATATCACGTCAAGCTATTCAATTTTACAACATATGTTTGATTACGAGTATTTACATTGTTAAAACGTAAACATGCTTTGAACTATATGACGTAGAACGGTTCCATTTAACATGTTTAATTAAAAAAACTTCAGCGACTGTTTTTGCAAATAAAACGAAATTGAAGTTCAAATTTATAAATTTGAAGCGTCTGACTACGACGAAATCAATACTGTATGATGTTAATGTAATTTGTTTCGCTGAGATCATGGTGACATTTTTTAAATCAATTAATGTAAACGAAAATGTTGTACTCTCTGGTTTACCCACAATATTATGGGGACATTTCTATTCATAAATTTGCTATATATTTCAACTAAAAAAAATATTATACATGTTCATATCAAGAGAAAACAAAAATAAATTGATGAAAAAACTATGATAAAATAATCAAGCATACTTTAAACAATGATATGTCTTTTAACAACTTGTTTGTGAAAATCCAACATTATAGATGCTTTCAAAACAATTTTTTGAAAAAGTGTGAAATATATGGCAAAAAAAAGGTAACGAATACTTTTGGCCATGTACTGTATCTATCTATCTATTAATAAATAATATAAATAATAGCAAAATACATGTTAGCCCAACTTTTCTTGAACAGGCTGCTATCACAGATTTTCTCTATATGCCATTTTTTTCATTTACATCAAAGAACATATTAGTACTCATACAATTTTATTTCGTCATATATACTGCCTTTTCCGTGTCAAATGATAAATAGAAAAAATGAAAACAACACTTTATAAGTGTCATACGTCCGAAGAGATTTTCTGGATTTACCTGTATCAGGAATGTTTAAACTCGAATATTTGAAAGCCAAGGATGTATAGCCCGAAACAGTTGAAGAGCTACATGACCAAAAGGACCTAAGATAATAGAAAAATACATCTAACTAAAGGTCTACTTTGCATTTCTAGTTCGAAAATTAATATTTCTAAGCACATTCTAATTAGATGTAACTGTTAATTATTTTAGCTAGTTGTGATATAAATATTATCCAAAAATCTGTCAAAACGTGCATCGTAAAATAAAAATAGCAATGAGCTTTATTTCAGAGTCAAAACTTTGACATATATTTAAAATCTTATGTCAATACGTCAATCTAATTAGAATATAGTTCTCTGATTTCGTTATACTCATATGAGCTTATATGTACGAGCACGCGAGTTAATAGAGGTCTGAATTTAAATCAGATTGGTCAATACGTACATCTAAGAAAACGTTCTTTCATTTCGTTAATAAATGAAGAAGGAAAATATATTGACTTTTAATGATATAATTGATTTTGTCCATATCTTTTACTACGCTGTCTCTCTTGAGAATTGCACTGATAACTTATATACCGGTCTAATATTATTATTTGTAAAACAGCGTCGTTGATATCCAGACGTAAATAAGAGATATTGTTTTGTAATGTGCTGTCAATATTATACTATATACGTAATTGTATAAGTTTCCGAGACCTTCAAGTTAATGGAGTGAAACAGATTTTGCAACATTACCTCTAAATCAAATATCACAGGACGTTAAATAAACACTAATCTATCAACTAACCGTAACTACAGACAATTTATAAATTATGATGTACAGCGAAATCTAACGACCATCCTGGAATTCATTTAGGGAGTGTACAAAAATGTAGTTCAGTAGAATTGGTAAAAAGCTAAATATTTGCGTGGTTGAAGTTAGCACTGTTTAATTATAAATGTTATTTTACCAAATCTCTGTGATTTTATCAAAATTTTACTATATTCTGCGACTTTGAACTTCCGGAAATAGTAAAGAACTACCTACCATAAAATATTAATTGTGGTCAAATAATAAATTGCTGCTTTAATTTTCATCAAATATTTTGGCGAAATGGCGGACTTAATGACAGACACTTTCCTGTCAGTGGTTCTGTGAGAAGTATAAAATTGTTAATGTCTGATAGAATATCCCTTTGTACATACAAAAACATTAGACTAGGATAGTTTTGGGAATTGTGGTTAACTTTCTTAGAATTACAGTTTCTGCCTCTGTCGATTGACATGTAGGTTGATCGAGTTTGTATCAAAATTGATCAACGTTTTATTCAACGTTCTAACTTTTGCACTTGCTTAAATTTCTTTCTTCTCAATTTTCAATTAGGTTTGCCAGTATGTAGTCAATGATTAAATTGCTGTTCTATTTATCTTATTACAAACCAGTGATAATAACTAATCTCCAAGGAAATCAAAATGAAATCAGGGCATACGTAATAATCATTGCATAAGGTTGCCACTTCCCGGATATCATTCGTCAACAAAGACTGAACTTCCTGTTTACTAAATTGACAATCGCTATACTCTTGTCTAAACAATGATTTCATAGAAAAATGAAATGCACCGATGTAAGGGGTACTAATTAAAACACAATAGGATGCATTTTACTAATCGCTAAATGCTATTTTATGTAGTAAGCGAAATGTTAATATGCTGTACACAAATAACGTCGGTTCATTTTGATAACTATTACTAAATATATTGAAGATGAAAACTTTCATTTATTTTCTTTAAATTTCCTATTTGTATTTACTATAGTGATCGAACCAGTATTAAAACAAATAGATGTTAACGCATGCAAACTAAAGCAAACTAAAGCAAAGTAACAAACCAATTTACTAGCAACTAATGATTTCTTTTTAAAATTTAGTTTCAGACATTTATCTATGGACAGCAGTATAAAGGTACGTACTGAGATATTATTAATTTATAAGGGAAATATCCAAAACATTTTCATCATCAGTGAAATCTTTTCCTCACTTTTTTCCATTTTTTACAAGACAATTCAATGCAACTTAAATTACTTCTAGCAACAATTAACATCCGGTATAATCATTATTATGTATCAATTTAATGTAAATTAAAAAAAAATAAATAATTGGTAAAGACTAAAGAATAATGTGAAAAAAAAAAGAATAGAGAATCATGGGTTCTTATAATATACCTATTAGAGAATAATGGGCAAACAAATATATAGAATAGAGAAAACTTACACAAAAAATAAAAAATAACGAAATGAAAGACATTCATATCCTTATATCTTATTGTATTTGTTCTTTGAGAATTTGAACACGTAGAAAGATTTTTGGGGGTCTTTGCTTTATCTCGGGACTTTTAAAAGCTTGACACATGCCGTTGAAGTATACTCCATATCTCATTTTATTCATACAGTTGTAAAATACATAATATACATTCTACCACTGCATCGAATGTTATATTATTATCTATAACCTTGAATGTATAATGATGGAGTAAATCTCCTATATAATAAGATTAACAATTCACAAGTGCTCGAAAATCAACTGCCATCTACAAAATATGACTTTGATTTTCGCCTTTCTTGTGAATTATCCATTTATTCCATAAAGATAAAGAAAACGGGACACTTGTGATTACGTTAAATCGGATAACAATTCACAAGAGAGCTTGATAATACATAGACCATCACGCAAAATTGTACGAGATTACTGCTGTAAAGCTCTTCAGTATATGTTGGAATACATATAAATTGTTATGTTTTTTTTTGAAACACTTGAAACTAAATTCTTTATGAGCCTCAATGCAAAAAAGACAAGATAGAAGAACACCTATAGGTTACTTTGTCGAAGAGATTTGCAGCATTCGTTTTTTGAACAATTAAATAATTCATAAACTGAAAAATTATATTTAAAATGTATAATTTACATGTAAATGATGTATGAACGGCGCTATGGCTTCTGTAAAGCTGCCTGAATAATATTTCCTTAAGCGTCCGTAATTAACAATGATTAATGGTTTGTGAAACTTATCCATTGACAACATTTCATATATATTTTGCAACAAAACGGATGCGTTCTATTTTCTGTATTTTCTAAAAGGTCATGTAAATAAATAAACAAGATGAAGCATACATTTTTGTAGAGCTAATATTTGTTTTGCTTCTGAAAATCCAACAGGTCAGTAATCCTGATTGAAAAATCCCACCAATCTACAGTAACCATGAAAGTTTAAAGTTGTTTCCTGAAATTTTATAAACAATATATTTTTTTTTTGCTTTATATAACTGGAAAATATAAACTGATCGGATGTAACTACTACATTATGTACGATGTGTTCAAGGCGTGTTCGGTGAAATGAATGAATGAAGCAATCGATTTGCACATTGGTAGTTTTAATAGAATGCACTGTTATACATCAAATTCCAAGAGGATACATGTGAATCGCATTTTTGCAAATTATCTTTCGATGTTTTGTTGGTTTTTAGCCTTGTGAAAACAATTCAGCTAGTGGCTTTTATTTGAAGAGGATTTGTTGACATCCTTTGTTTAAATCTACGAACCCTTTGTCTTTTAGAAGAGCTACATGTATCATATTTTGGTTCTAATGTATCATAATAAGGTTTCACTCGTTGATTTCATTGCATTTTAACGAAATGTTTAATGCTGATCTTTAATTCAATTTTGTAGAATGTGGCGGCAAGCCAGCAGATATCATGTTTGCTCTTGATTCGTCTGCCAGTATTCCATTCAAGGATTTCCAGAAAGAAATAAACTTTACACAAAACTTAATAAAAATATTTGATATTGGTTCAGACAAAACTCGAGTCGGGCTAGTTACATTTAGGTACGTTATAAATTAATAAAATAGAACATATTTACCAGACTGATATATCTATTATCTGTCATACGATTGAAAACTTGGGGGTTATTAGGAATACGTATTTTTTTTTATAGATTTCATCGATTTAACTGTGTACATAATATCAAAGAAATGTCAAAGTTATTTAAGACCTACTAGTGTTTCAAAGGCTAACACAACATACTGCCAGAGACCAATCTGCCTTCATCACTTAAAAATATAAAAAAAAATGAACCAAAGAATTCTCGCAATTGCTGAAATTATTCTCAAAGCACTTTCAATACTGATATGAATGCATGCCGTCCTACACTTAATAAGGTGATTGTTCTTTATAGAAAATGTCATACAACAATGTCATACATAATACTGGAAGACAGGATCTTGTGCAATCCAAACAACACACTGTACAGAATTCCAATGCAGAAAAACAACATAAACATATCAATCTTGTTTTAAAAAATAAATAAGCAGATCATTTCAAAAATTACAAGACGCAATGATTGAACAACAACAAAGTTACAGTTTACCTATAACCTTTAACAAAGAGAGGACAATGATCTTATATATTTCTGTAAACGCTTCTTCCTTTTTTCCGTTTTGACTATTCCCTATTTTATTTAATAAAGTATGAATGAATAAAACAAATGGCTATAATGCTAGTAGCTACATTTAGCTTCCATATTATATTTCAATATGAATAAAAGGAGATAAGTAGAAAACGGCAAGGAGATAGAAAACCAATAGCAATGAAAACCAAAAGACATCTAGAGGTCAATATATGGTCGTCAACAATAGACAATGGACATGGTGTCTGATCTGTTCAATAAGTTTGGGTTTATGTAATTTGAGACATCTAAGTAATGTATATTAACAACTTTACATCCCTCCTACAAAATATAAATTATCTTTTGATATGTTTTGAAGATTATGTGATATTTTGCATTTATCTTCGAAATTGTAGTACAACAGTTGTCCCAGTACTCCGTGTTGGAGAGTTTGAAACTAAAGCGGAAATTTTGGAAAAGACAAACGAAGTACAGTTTCAAGGAGGTAACACCAACACTGCTGAAGCTCTAAGTTACATTAGACAGAAAGGTTTCAAGTCCACTGAGTCTGTAGATCGACCTAGGATAGCCATAATATTGACGGATGGTCAGTCAAATGACGTAGTTCGGACAGTAACGGAAGCTGCAAAGACAAAAACAGCAGGGATTACCGTATTTGTCATTGGAATAGGGTCACAGGTTTGTGTTCACTTCCGATATATGTAACAATTGTAAGTTTCTATTGGTTGTAATCTGTATAAGGGTCTGGATAGGGTTTGTAGAATATTATATAACAATCGGCAAAATCTGCAGGAAAAAGGGACAAAAGAAATAAAGAATAGAAGGTAATGGTGTGCTAAAATTAAAAACAAAAGATAATAAAAAGAATACAGAAATAAAGAACCATCCTCTAGACCCTCCTGTATGTGTTTATGACATTTGTGCTTTTCGGTATGTTCTACGTATTTCTTAAGAAAAGTTGTTCCATTCGGGATACAAAATTACAAGCGATTGATTCATATTTCGGCATTACATCAAACTCAATCCGTATTTACATTTTTTCAATAACCTACATAAATTTCATACGAAATGAAAACATATGACGGAATCAAATGATTCGACTTTCACTGAATTAAAGATCAGCAAGTTCTTGAATTGAACACCTTCTATAAATATTAAGGAATGAGTTATATGAATAGCTCTCTGGAACGTGATATTTCACAATTATTGTCTGTTATATGAATTTCTGTAAATGCTCAAACAGCCTATTTATATTTTTCAGGTAGATGAACATGAGCTTGAAGCTATTGCAACCAAACCATTGTCAACTTATATGTTAAAGATTGGAAATTTTGATGCATTGGATTCAATAAAAGATGAACTTGCGATTAAAGCATGTGAAGGTATCATTTTTTTTTTGTCATTGATTAGATCGCAGTAATGTTAATGAGCCTCGATATGATTTTATGTAACGATCCATACAAGCTAAAGGCATTTTTTAACATAATTATGATACACAAAAAAGGCTGCAAATAATTAATTTACCAAAACACCCCTGACAAGAACACACATAGTTGGGTTTGTTTACCATTTAAGTTTGTGGTAGGTTTATATAATATTATATTTCGCGGCATTTTATTGTAAGTTGTTACAGTAGATTTCTGTCTTTCTGATATTTATAAACAAAGTATATAGAAGTAAATGGGAATGTGAGGCATGCGTCAATGAGACAGAAACCCGGCGTCAAAAATAACAAATAGGTCTATAGAAAAAAATATCGCCTTCAACAACAGAAAAGTGTATATACAATGTGTCAAGCACTATATCGTCTAAACAAATTGTGAATAATTTAAACAGATCAGAAACCATCAATGATCTGCGCATGTCATTAACTCCAATTTTTCAAATAACAAATTAAAAACAGTTAGACAAAGTGCGTTATTGTTTATTCCCTTGCGATCTTAATACAGGAATGTCTAGTCCCTGGAAATAGTTCACCAGGTTCCAAAGAACGATGCATCAGTGACGGTTGAATGTCAAAGAAACTTCTCTATATAGGAGTATGGAGGTACTTGTCTGAACTTTTTGGATCGTATACACTATGTATCATTAGTTATAGGGAGCAACCATTTAACTTCAAGAGGGGGGGGGGGGGGTTATAGTTTTTTGTCTGAGTCAGAAATTTTTTTTTTCTTCAGTTTTTCGACGCTATCAATCAAATTCTTTTTTTCAAAATTTAACACTATAAGGTATTGGGAAAATCTGGATTCAGAACCCTCCCTTTGAAGTTAAATGGTCGTTCCCTTAACAGATTTTACAGGTATAATCAAGAAAATCTTCTTAAAACACATAACATTGACATTTTATTGTTTTAGTTGTACCCGTAACACCAGCGCCACCTACTGAACCCATGATGAATGACGATGAAGTACTGTATGGAGAAGGCAGTAAGTTGTATTACATTTTTTTATAAAGGGACAATATGATACCAAAATCTATATTTTTTCTATACTGTTTTAAAAGGAGATGTAGAGTGTATTCATTTTCGACAACTACGCATTCACTACACGATAGAATCATAGACAGTTACGGTAAATATCTTAACAATACAGTAGGGATAAATTTGAACCTTTCTCCAAATCTAAAAGGAACTGTCTGGAGATATGTTCTAGAACAGTATAAAAGTATGTCTTAACATTAAAATACAGTTCTCTGCCCCTGACTAACTCGACAACTAGAACTGTTCTGATTTATGATATTAGAGCTGCTCTTTTTTACGTCATGTAGGACCGTTCAATGCTAGAACAAATTCTGACAATTTTATCCTAGAACATATTGTGACAGTTCTACCTTAAAACAGATTTGGCAAGCTTTAGGGTAGAACTACTGCATATAACCAGAGTATATATGTCTCTGATATAACATCTTACATATATTTTTGAGATGTTTCTGATAGTCCTGAAGAGCGGTTAGAACCGACCTCGACTGCATGTCATAAATATTGCTCCAAATCTAGACAATTGTTGAAAAAGAACAAAAACCCACTTTCAACATATTTTAGAGCATCAATTGTATCACAAATCTTGAATATTGCATTTTCTACTTTTATATACTAGTATGACATTTAATTTTCATAAAGGGGGTCGGTTTTGGAAAACATTTTAATTAGTCCCCGGGGCGAATAAATGTTATCAGCCATTTCCTATCTTGCAATCTTTCATACATTTATCAGCACCACCTTAATTAGTCCCCACCCCCCCCCCCCCCCCCAATAATCTTTAAATGCTTTGCAGCAGCTATAATTTACAAGCTACACCTTAGAAATATGCCGATATACATGCATACAAGGGATGCGATATTTGAAATATGAGCTCGTAGTTTCTTGATAAAAAACGAATGATTGAAACTTTCAGAAAATGGAAACTGACGAATGAAAAATATTTACTCACGAGTATGCGCATACACACTTAGAAATTACGATGTTTCCTTTAACTAGATAACAAAACCTATGCCTCATTACCGAATTCATTGTTGTGTGAAGTTCTATAATTCTAATACAAAACATGTGAACTATTTTTTGTTTACATTTAGCATGTTCTCCTTCCAAACCTATGAGCATTGCATACGCAGTGGATACCTCATCGATTGGTGCAGAGAATGCCTACTTTGTGATGGTCCTAATAAATAGAATCGCATCGCGGCTCCGAATGGACAAGCAACAAATCAGCTTAAGTGTCCTGACAAGTTCATGTGGCCTCCAAACACAAAATGGCGGCCTTATCGATCATGTCCACGACCAGAACTCTTTACAGAACAGTCTTGACACCATGACCTCGGCCTCTTTCCAAAGCATACTTCGAGATATGAGACAGAAGATTCAATCGGACAAAGGTTTAAAGGTCGGCTTTATCTTTCTAAGTCGACCGCTGAGCAAGGAAGAATTTCACAAGTCTGAACTTGAATCCAGGAGGGCTAAATTTAAGAAAATTCATATATTTGTAGTAGGAATTGGATCACGCTTGGATGAATCGCAAGCTGTTGGTTTGACAGTGGAAAAGAATCATTATATGCATACTGATTCATATGATACCCTTTATGAGCTGGAAGGGCCTATCTTGTACCGCATATGTAAAGTGAATTAACATCCAAGATGCATGCTGGATACATTAAAAATACAGAGCAAACTGATGCTATAATAAATGGTATACGATTATCATATGTATATTATTTGGAAATAATATATAAATTATCTATTGATAACAATAATTTAAAAGGAGCAGTTGGTTTTTATTTCTGTTGAAACTTGGAAGGTACTAGGAGGGGGGATGTGTTGTACGCAAGACTTTATTTTTATGTTATGAAAAAAAACAGATAATAAAACATACTGAAGGACTTGTTGCTTCTTTTGTGTGGATAATTCTATTGAATTTTATTTAAAGATAACATTGATCTAATCGATATATATAAGAACGTTAAATATAAAAGTAAAATGGCCTTGGGATCTGACATTTCAACAAATGACCCACCAAATGAAATCTGAAAAAAGTGCAATACAACGTTAAAGCGAAATACATGTGGCGGGCAAAGTTTCCCGTTACACCAGAATATATTTATATAGATATAAGAAGATGTGGTATGAGTGCCAATGAGACAACTCTCCATCCAAGTCAAAATTTATAAAAGTAAACCATTATAATCCAGATTAAGACCCCAAAAATACCGCAGGCACTATAACAAATACTAGTATAGTATTGATATTTAGGTCAAGAAAAATTGAAACGGATATGAATATGAATTCTGCTTTGTACGCTGAACTGGAAAGGCAAGTTCATCAGCAAAGTTTCCCGTTACACCAGAATATATTTATATAGATATAAGAAGATGTGGTATGAGTGCCAATGAGACAACTCTCCATCCAAGTCAAAATTTATAAAAGTAAACCATTATAATCCAGATTAAGACCCCAAAAATACCGCAGGCACTATAACAAATACTAGTATAGTATTGATATTTAGGTCAAGAAAAATTGAAACGGATATGAATATGAATACTGCTTTGTACGCTGAACTGGAAAGGCAAGTTCATCAGCAAAGTGTCGCAGGGAGACACATCTTCCACCATCGAGGTAATATTATTCTGACTCCCGAGTCGACCATTAATTTTCGTCTTGGTAAGTAATGTTCCGATGGTTACTACTAGAAATAATCAAGTTCAAAACAGCAAGATCAGCTTCATAACTGCATGTATTTCTGTTGTAGTACATGTACCTATATCAATCTATGGCAACCTTAAACAGATTTAGACGTAAAAGGTTCACTAGCGTTTAGAAGTAAGACCATCCCTTAAATTTCCCGTCCGGCAGTTAAACCCTTGGTATAACTGGATCTGATGTATCGTGAAGAGATAGCGTCGTACTCTCTCCACATTAAATAAACATTGTAACACCTATTTTATTAAGTAAGAGGCCTGTTGCTAAGCAACATTTCTTCGCCTTTCCTACATATCCTTATTTTCCAGAGGCTGTCACAATTTCTAGTTCTTTATCCCGGTCTGCCAACTTTGCAAAACGAAACTATTGTTTTGGTTTGTTATTTTGTTCTCGTCATAAATTTGCATGAAATATTTGCTACTGGACTTTAAACAAGCCGCAATTATTTATCCAAGATCAGGTTTAGAGAACGCAGAAACATACATGTCAAATGTACAAATTCATCAGTTATATTTGAATCACACGATTTAATTGTTTGCATATACATGTAAACAATTCGTTCCTCTTTACCGCTTTATGAACAAAGATATATTTTTCTTCTCGTTTAATATTAAACTTAAGTACAGAATGTAATGACTATAATAAGTAAAGTCAGTAAGTATCTTTTTGCTTCAATTGGTCGGTTTCTGTCATCAAATTGTATTGTTCATCGCTGAATACTTTGGATGTAAGATCATACGTGCTTGCAAGAGCTTCGACTACAAATATATAAAGCAAAAGTGTTGAAACAATATATAATTCAGATAGAACATCAAATCTTGACACATTTCAATATTTTCAATTATGATTTGTTTTCCACAAATGTTTACTGAGGGACTTTTAGTTGATGCATACTTCAAGGTATTGGTCTTTGTTAAATATTAAAGACCTTGCACAGACGTACATATGTTTATTGAGTGTCTGGTCCTTCTATTTTTAAGTAGATATAGATATAAGAAGATGAGGTATGAGTGCCAATGAGACAACTCTCATACCAAGTCAAAATTTATAGAAGTAAAGCATTATAGGTCAAAGTACGGTCTTAAACACGGAGCCTTGGCTCACATCGAACAGCAAGCTTTAAAGGGCCCCAAAAATTACTAGTGTAAAACCATGCATTCAAACGGGAAAACCAACGGTCTAATCTATATAAAAAACGAGAAACGAGAAACACTTATGAACCACATCAACAAACGACAACTACTGAACATCAGATTCCTGACTTAGGACAGGTGTAAACAATTGCAGCGGGTTTAAACGTTTTAATGGTACCAAACCTTCACCCTTATCTGAAACAATAGTTTACATCACAACATAGAAAGACACACTATAAAATATCAATTGAAATGGCTTAACTCAATCAAAAGACATATTAACACCAGTGAACATACACTGAACAAATAAATTTAATCTACGTATTATATGATACAATGCAAATACAAAATAAATAAACTAAGGGAAGAATAATTAAAGTAACATGTTATACCGCTGTGAAATGTTAAACAATTTAAGAAAAACAATATGCTTGAACAAAAATACCAGCCATTTGCAATTACTTTAAACACAGGTATATGAAAATAATTATCCCATTTTTCATATTAATTGAGAAGGTAAAAAGCTAAAATGGGAACTATTTGTTAAAAGTCTACATCAAAGGACATGCACCAGAAAAACCAAACTGAACTTAAAATCAAACGGCCACACATCAGCAGTATGCGCTGCTCAAGTCTTGAAAATTATGATAGTATTGTACAATGCTTTTAAATTTTCGTCGAAATATTATATTTGTTTCCTAAAACCTACTTTTCCATCAACAATATTCTCTTTCATATACATTCCGGTCATCGAGTCGTTGTCCTTACTCTTGAAGATCGTTGTGTTGGTCATTACTTTTGTCCCATTTATGTTTTTGACCTATAACACAAGTAACAAAAACAATTAAACTGGTGTTTTTTTTTTAGTAAAAGTACTCTCTCTGCATGGCACTCTACAAATTTTTTCAAACATTTCAATTTTTATCACAATCAATTTAGACTATGAAGTATTGTTTATATGTTGCAAATGTGAGTTACGTTCGATAATATCGGGTCAGCCAACTATTCTTTGAAATTGGAAATAAAAATGCATGCCTTGTTGAGAAGTTTCAACCGAGATTATTGCCCCTGTCGAATTTGAATAATAATTAGGCATTTTCGGCATACAAGTGTATGTAGTGCTATTTAGATGTGTATAAATCTGGAAAATTCGGCTAACAACGAAAAAGTTTTTTTTTTAAACATGCAGTCAAGAGATAGAACCCGTACTTTTTCCTCTTTTTTATAAATATCCGAGGACATTAGACGCTAATACAGTGTAACTATTCTATCATTAAATTACGTCTGACACAAATAACATTTTGTTAATCCAAAAATATATGAACCCTCCCGTCTGTTGTGTTGTGTGTGTACTTCCCCCTTTTTTCAGAAGAAAAGAAGTCCAAAATGTTATTTACCTGTCGAGTATGAACAGCGAGATGTCTCCTTAATTTACTGTGGTTTAAACAGTAATTTGAATTTGGCTGTTCGTTAAAAACAGAAGCAGGCACCAGTAAAGTGTACGCATATGACATTGGCTAGTTAGTACCGTGATATGAATACCATGCCCCTTTTTTATGCAAACATGTATCAAATGTAGTAAACTTGATTTCGAGATTTAATTCTTTAATTAACAAACACAAAACTGAAAGATACGAAGTAAACCGCCAGTTTTTTTTAGTCAACACTTGCAGAAAAGAGCACCAATAAGTCTGTCAGTGCATATTTATCAAGTATATTTTGACTTACTGCTTATCATGAAAATTTGGCATAATTCAAAATAAAGCGGGTATTTTTTGTCATTTGGCTGCTGTTTCATCGGCGTATTACCTTGAATCTCCTTTTTTATTCACATTTTAAACATACGAACAAAGCGGCATAACCCAATGACTGATTTAAAATATATATCACGAAGGCCAGGCTTGTCCAACACCCGAGATCCAATGATGCTGAACACCATTGTGTAATAAAAGATAACCGTCATGTATGACCTTAAACTGTATATATGTGTACATACGACCGTCTGAACAGAAGGCGAGGAGAGCTGTAGTATTAAGCTTCGGTACATCTAAAGTCCACTTATGATATGATGCGTTAGGACCGGTTGCGTTAGGTCGTACTTTTAGTATATATTCAACTTGTCAGTACATAACATGTTTATAACATTTAACGGTACCAGATGGGCATTTCGACAATTAATCATTTATTATTTATGTCTCGTCAGTGATGCTCGAATTCAAGTTATTTGAACATCAAAAACTTGACACAAACGTTGAAGAGCTGATCAGACCAAAAAGGACCAGAATTAAAGCCCAAAACTGGCTTAGGAACCAGAGCTAAGTATTAGGGTGAAATATATGCATTGCTTAATCTAAAATTATTTTCTAAACTGTATAACAGTTAATTACAATAAAATAATATCTATATTTGTATGCCAGTACCGAATTATGTAAATCTAATTCGTCGATAGGCGCAAAACTTACATTTGAGAAAGATTTGTTATAATTATCCGGATATTGGTCCAATATGGTATCGATGTGGTTCGAGAACTTCATTTGATCGTGTAGTTTCTCGCTTATTTCTTTGCTTATATTCGACATAACCAGAGGGATGACTGTTAAATTTCTCTCATCGTCTTTCAGTAAATTCAGGAAATCTACAATTATGAACTAAATTTATAACTTTCTGAGATTTTCAAGAATGTTGCACTTTTGAAAGTTGGGTCGCAGGGTGAAATCAAAATGATAAGCAATCAACCTGGGCTCATATCTCATTATACCTATGGATATCTTAAGAAAATTTTAGTTTTCAATCTAAGTTTTTGTTTTTGTTTTATTAGAGACAAACACAAAAAACGACACAATTTATATCCAACTTAAGTTACTTTTTGACGTATCTTTCATACATATAATGCATTTGTAATGGTAAGTTACATGTATATTGAGACGTGAGATAAGCCAAATTGAATCATGTCCCAACGCGTTACAAATCCATTAAACGTGTGAGACTTATGTTAATATACATTATGTATCTGTATCTGTATGAGTACGTTGAGGATGCCAATTCTGGCTTTTACTCAACGGGAATATATGTAAAGATTATTAACATGTTATCTTGCTCTGTTCATATTGATTGGTTATTGTTTGTCCAGTGGCAAATATTGCATATGCATGTTCAGGACGAGAGCACTGTTCATAAGATCAAAACTGCGACGTCAAGTGTGACCCGTCAATTAAATGTTTTTGCGCTATGGCAGAGCAGGAAGAATTCATTTTGATTTTTGGATGTTTTGCAGGATCTAATCATATACTGAGTCGTTTTTTTCTAAAGAATGTAGCACTCTACATATGTATAAACCCCACGTCAAATTTGTTGAATTCGTTTGAACTGGACTTTCCTGTTATTAATCTAGTTTGGGAGAAAAACTATTTCACAAGTAATAACTCATTTTAATGCACTCAAATACATGTAAGTGATAAATATACGGAAGCCGATAAGGGTCATTAAAAAAAAATATATGTCGTAATTACGACATAGTATGTCGTAATAACGACATCGCTATGTCGTAATAACGACATATTATGTGGAAATAACAACATCGCTATGTCGTAATAACGACATCATTTTTTTTTAATGACCCTTATCGGCTTCCGTATAAATACATTATATATAATAATATTTTTTTTCTATTTCTGCTCTGTTGTTACATGTATCATTCGATTCATATCTGCACTAGGGCTACATCCCTCTGGCAAATATCAAGATTTTGGAACGAAATATTTTGTAACAGGGAAAATATTTTAAAATGGCATAAATTAATTTATAAATATGGCTTCTGTGACAGTCGTTGATGGATTGAAAGTTGATAAAATGAAAGTCTAAAATCTTTAAACAGGTGTCATCGTTCATCCCAAATCTCTTGATATTTTCTGCAAAACAATTCTCTGTTTACTATCCCATTTATCTCTCCGTTTTTAACTTTTACTCATGTTATTTTCTCTAATTTGTTAACTTTGTTTATCTTAAAATAAATATTAAACAAACAACACATAAGGTGCTATGTTGCAATTGTCGGTGAGACAGCAACTCAACATATTAAAATTAAAGAAGAGTATCGTATAGTGAATACTCCTTATATGAAAAATAAAAAAAAACGTAAAATCATATCAAAATACATTGATCTAGTTATTTACTCAAATATAAAGTTAGATTAAAGAATTTATGGTATAAACTTCACTAAAACTACACTGAACATCCTTAAAAATATGTAGACTGTAATGTGTTCCGGACGAAGACCCATGCATAGTATATAGTATATAGTATATGCAGTATGTGTCATGTTGGTTGGTAGATATTATTTGATACAATATTCGTCTACATGTGTGTATTTAATATTATGACACATTTATTGCACTTTGAATTTAACTAACTTTAGTTAACTAAACGGTATAACTATCTTAAAGGAATAAGCAAATGCTCTAAATAAGTAAAACCATTTCTGATAACAACAAATTTAAAAGACAACACCCACTGGGCCAGTCTTTGAAATGTACATGTCTTGAGATTCTTTACAAAGTGTTCTGTGCATTGCTCAAGATCATTTTTCATGTACCTTTCATAAAGTTGCTTAATGAAATCTACTCCGAATAATATAGTCACTAATATCAGACTATAGGACCAATGATTTCATAGCAGAACGTTTAGTACGTTGTGGTGACTTTCAGTGACAGCGACCATATTGTTTATCATTGTTTTATTGCACTTTTGTTTTTGCTACCCATCTTATCTGTATATATGTGCTTTCTTTTCATGGTTTTTATTATATACTATTTTACGGACCATTTTGTATTACACTGATCGATATTAGAAGGGGAGAGTTGAGATCTAAATAACTACTTGTTTTTATGGCTTTCCCAATTCAGAACCTTGTCATTGCATTCTGCTAAATCTTTAGGATGTTCTAGGTAATTTTGTGTTGATGGCAGAGCTATAGTTTGACTGTCTTCGTTAATTTATAATTTACAAATTGTTTACACCCAAGGGAGCTCTTAATATATCGTGTAGACACCTGTCTAATGGTGACGACTATATATGTTGACCTATGTATGTGCTTTTGTCGCTGGGTTGTTGCCTCATATAGATATGTATACTCTTAATCCGGCTGCTTTCATTGATAATTCATTCAGAATTGTGTGCATTCATACAATCATTTTACAAATAACTATAGGATTACAAAAATTACAAACACTTTAACGCACTATAAAAAGCTATTCACCAATCTATACATGGTTGAAAACAGTTCTCAACATTAAAATTAAAATACATATCTATATTTAAACAGGGTTTGCAAAGAACTTACCCGTTAAAAAACCAAACGGATTTTTAGAAAGATCATCGACTTGATACCTGTTAATATTGGCTCCAAAACCTAATAATATGAATGAAACAAAAGTGACGAAAAAGAACATATTCGAAATAGAAACATCCATGTTTATACGAAAAATTGATAAAATGATTTCATACAAATTCTCGGACATATGTTACATCTTTAATATACTTATAGACTGGGGATTGACTTATAGATCAATATATATGTTAAACATATGTACACTAACTGCGTAAATGAATTCTTATACGTGTGCAAAATGATTTTAATTCAATTTTGTTAATACTGATATAACTGATATTCATGATGTTTAAAAAAAATACCATTAACTTAAATATGAAATAAGTCAATGTGTCATTCGTTACTGTTCACGAGTATGGAGACTGACCGTGCGTGTATAAAAGTATATTTCAAACTTACAAGGTCGTTTCTTAGGTGTTGAAAATCTGTAATTTATGTAAATAAATCTTCAATGTATTGGTGATGAATTTCATGTTATTTTCTAATGTAATTTTTTTCTATAACGAAAGAAAATCTTTATTACCAAATGTTTAATTGCATAAACTAAATGTGTATTTGCATATTATTAAACCAACTGTCTTGAAATTTTGTGAATTATTCAATAATGATTATATTGATGCTGTTATCGAAATTGCTTAATTCTTTTAATAAAAACCAACCAACGAAAAACAAATATGATAAACAGCAACAAACAACAACCAAATACGTTAACCCGGACATATCACCGACGTCATAATATATGAACCGACGTTGATAAGTTTGACCCGAACTTATTACGTCATCTTCCGGTTTGTTGGTAAAATAAAGAAAACACTTGTTTCTATCATGCAAAATACGCAAATACAACCCAATGAATCGATTATCTGGTTGTATGCATATTCATGATCATTCATATTGTAAAATATCAGTTGCTCGACACAATATGAAGCCTTTTTGATCTCGTTCGCTGCGCTCACTCGACAAAAAGCTTCCTATTGTGACTCGCCGCTGATATTTTACGATATCAATATGCAGACAACCTGATAATCGGTACGTATCTAAGTCTAAACGATCAATGCTTTTACAACCCTACAAACATATGACTTATTGGAAAACGGTAATATTTTACAACTTTCTATCTGTATGAGACCACAAGGGCTTCGTAGGACAATTTTGGAATGGCTCGCGATTGTTGTCAAAGTTACGGATTCTTATGAAACGTATATGTTATGTTATTTTGATCATTGAAAATCTCTTGATATCTGGCACATTTGGTCCCTGGTGGAGAATTGCCTCATTGGCAATCATACCACATCTTCTTATTTTTATATTCCACATTTGTGATATATTTGATTCATGTAAATTGATTCATACTCAATTTTAATGTAAATAATATCTGAAGGAAATCAACATGATATTAGGCGTAGATTATGATAGCGAATTTAAAAAAAAGTATGTTCAGTGGTTGTCGTTTGTTGATGTGGTTCATAAGTGTTTCTCGTTTCTCGTTTTTTATATAGATTAGACCGTTGGTTTTCCTGTTTGAATGGTTTTACACTAGTCATTTTTGGGGCCCTTTATAACTTGCTGTTCGGTGTGAGCCACGGCTCTGTGTTGAAGGCCGTACTTTGACCTATAATGTTTTACTTTTACAAATTGTGACTTGGATGGAGAGTTGTCTCATTGGCACTCATACCACATCTTCTTATATCTATCTATAGTCTAAACCAGGTGTTACAATAGATAGAGCGTACGGTGTATTATTTTCTACAGGTATTATCTACATAAAAATGAAATAATATGTTCATCCCCGAGCTCGCTCAAGACAGTACTTTATGGAGAGTTAGGTTATCTTGCATGGTTATGGGATCTTCTATGATTATTTTCATCTTTTGCGTAGTCAGTGCAACCTTGGCTTAAATGATAAAGCTAGGATTGCAGTGTAAACGCTTCCCCTTAGTTTACAGTGTGGAGTTTTCGAAATTAATTACCATTTTAAATGAAACATTTCGAGACAAAATTAATTTGTTGATTAAAAAAAAAGAATAAAAATGTTATTCGTTTATACGGAAGTGGTATATTTCAACAATTCGTGACCAAAAGAGTAGATAAAAGTTCACTAATCCATCACTTCTGGTTTAAAGTAACTTTGCAGGTAAAGCACTGGACATGAAAAGTAAGATTTTTTTTTTTATTTAAATATTATTCAATTGTATCTTGATCTTTGTCTATAGATTTACAAGTTTCTTCAGCATCGCCATATGATTCTTCATCACTACTGTGGGTTTCTACAGTGCCACCGTCTCCAAGATCTCGATCGTCTACAGTGCCCCCCTCTCCAAGATCTCGTTCGTATACAGTTCCCCCCTCTCCAAGATCTCGTTCGATTACAGTATCATCCGTTGCTTCAGAGCTTGCGTCTGTTTCTGGATTGGAAAGTCTATGTAACACGGCAAATCCTGATAATGGTCTGTGGTAATCAGCATTTTCATGTTCGGACGGCGGAAGAACAGCAGGATATTCTGGAGGTAAATCGTATGTTACTGATTTGAGAGGCGATGGAGGTCGAGGTGGTTTTTCTTGTTTGCATTTGGTTCTCCTTTTGAAATCGCTAAGTTCTTTAGCACTGTGACGAATGTTGCTATTATAAACTACATCATTGAACCCAGAAAAGTCAACTTCCCACCTCCCATTACCAGCATCAAACTGTTCTATGCGATCAAATCGATGACCCCAAAGTAGTTCACATGGTAAATATGATGTTCTAGCCTGGCAAAATTCTCCAGTTGATTCTAATGTTCCCTCTGCATAAATTATAATTTCATACTTTTCATTTGTCAAGTCTGAAGGACGAATGTTCCATAAAGGACTATTTTCGGTAATTTTATGACTAAGAACCATTGGCCACATGAGAACAATTTTGTCGCCCATGTCATTGGCCTCGAAATCTAGACTATGGAGATACAGAGGATAAGTCTTTCCCTCTTCTGTAATTCGTTTCTTGACTAATACACCGTGCACTTTTGCATCTACTAAATGGCTTTGTCGCATATCACCGATCCGCACCTGTAAAAGAAAGTGAAAGTATAAGATGTATTTCATTTCATTTTAATTTATTTCATTTATTGATCTTTATTGTATTTCTAATTATTCTATTTGCTTTAAATCTAGTGTTTATCTGATTGTACATATTAAACTCCGGCGATGATAATTTCAGGATGTCTGAATTTGTTTCTTAAGCTATACTTCGATAACAAGTTCTTCCTCTTCGTGTGAAGCTTAGGAGACGACCTTTCAGTGTAGAACTGGAGATCTCAAAGCGTACAGTGTAAGTATTCGTTCAATTTGCAATACATTTTATACATTTGTAATCAAATTAATCATTTGCATTAACGTAAAGATGCAATATATATGGTAACCCAACAACAGAGACAAGCAATGTATAAATATACAGTCTGAAACATATCATACCTGATATTAATTTAGTATATGGTTATGAAATACTTGAGGTGATTTTTTATACATGTAATCTATTAGATATTGTGTATCTGAAGAAAAACTCGAAAGCTGATGAATTTGTAATGAAATTGTCAGTTATATAAAAACATGTAACATTCTATATAGCAATGGAGATAACTCTACTAGCTATAGCAAAACACATTACATCTCGTCACAGTATTGCCAAGTCTTCTTTTTGTGAAAAGGATTGATTGATTGTTGATTGGTTAACGTACTAAGCTGCAATAATATCAGCCAAAGTAAGAACAAATGAACAAGTTAAAAAGTAGTTTCTTATCATGTGAATCATAGACAGTCCAGATGAAGAGACGTACGATTTCGAAATTCATTGAACAAAACAAAACAGAGTAGGGACAGAAATGTTTGCCTAACAAAAGGTCAGCTGAGACCCTTGCATATACGTCCCAAATCATACCGGTATATAAAGTCTACGTATTTCTTCCTCTCGCGCACCCAAAATACTACTGACAGGGGTTTTCAGAAAAAAAAGTCCGACAGCAATATATTTTAATATATCATAAAACCACATGTTACATGTGCATATTAGAAAAAAAAAGTATACAGGTTTTACTGCTGAACTATCTTAAAATCAACAGCTAATTTTGATTGTTCCAGGAAGATAATGAAATACTGTTAGTATGTCAGAGATTTGAACACATATCACTATCAAAAACGAGAATGATATTTTATACATACATTGGTGGAATAAAGCAATGTTGCCAACTTAAGTCAAAGGTAGATGTCGGAATAATGTGACACCATCGCCATTTAATGTTTTGTTACATTTAATTTCTTAATAAGAATATAAGCAGTAAAATATTTTCCTTGTCTTAAGTTAAATGCTCGTACTATCATATTTCATTCAACCAAGTCTTGCATTTAAACAAATTAATTTAGAAAGATGGTACAGTTTTACTATGTATATTCATAAGTGTATGCAGTAAAAACGTTTTTTTTTTAGTCTTATCGTCAATTCTCATATAATTTCATGCCTTTTTTAACAAAGTTTACCTTTAAATATTTCAGTTACAAAAATGGTACATTTTTACTATATATACTCACTTGCAAACAAAGAACGCCATCTTCATGGTTGATACAAGCATGCTTGCTGAACATCAGTGTCTTCCCACGTCTCTTTGGCTGGGCAAACTTCATAAACATGAACCCAAGTAGCATATTTTCTAAAAATATCCCAACAGTTACTTGTAGAAATGTTAATAAAATAGTTCCATCACAATCTGTATTAGGGTAGGCAAACCCGTATCCTATAGTTGTCTGTGTTTCTATAGAGAATAAGAAAGCATTTCCAAAATCGTGAACGCCATCTACACACGACTTCCAGTCTGGATCGTTCACATGATCGAAGTCACCATGGTTATGCATTAACCAATACCAGAAAACAGCAAACATGAAATACGTCGCTAAATATACATTAAAAAGTATGGCTATAGCATAGCGCCATTTTAAGTCAATTAGTGTTACATATAAGTCTTGAAGGAATCGAGTCCTCCTGTTTTTAATACCGCTGTACTTAACACGATAGTGACCACTTTTCTGGACAAGTGCTTGTCGTTTCTTTTCTGCATCCCAAATACCAACTTTTAATTTCTTCTTCATATAATTTACAAACGGCCATCTACTTTTTTGGTAATCTTCAGGCTCATCGCTAAACAGAAACATTGCGCCTATCTCTTCGGATTTAGAGACCATCTTTGGTATTGTAATTCAATATTGAAAATGATGAATTTTTATTTTTATTTTATATTTAACGGTAATTTTCTTTGTCTTGGAGCAATCAAGCAAACAAACATTACTGATTGTATAATTAATCAGTTGTTCAAATAATTTAGTTTTTCCCATTACATGCTCAATTTGACAGTTATTGGACAATGTTTTACAAAGATTAAGCAACCGCATATGATATATATGCGCAAAAAATGAACTGATGGAAAAGAAATAAAAGGAAAACACCTATATCGAATATTGTCTCGCGGCAACGGGACAAACAAAGAACTTGTTAAATTATTTCATTTTTATTGTTATCATTTTGTACTTTAGCTGTCAAATACATAAAATTAAAATGATTAATTTATTTTATATGTTTTTTTAAAGAAAGAGTTGTTTTTAATAAATAAACTGGTTATCCGATGTACATGTTTAGTGCATTTCATTTTGTTTTTTTAGTTTGTTTTACATACATACAATAAGTAACTATGCATAATTTTAAAACTTATCCAATGTTTATTATATAGTTATATGTACAAATTCATAATATAAAATCTCAAAATATTTCCTTTTTCTTTTGTTTTGCGCAAGTTTCAATTGTTGTTATACAAAATAATTCTTTAGACTTGTCATCATAATGACATCGTTTTATGGAATAACATCGTGTTTGTGAGGAAGTACAATTTTATTTTTTAATTTGTCTATTCAAAAAATAATTCTGAAGTTTCATTTTCTATTAAATGATCAATAGTCACTGTGATAAACTAGGAGTATAAATACTTACCAACTTCTGCATAAAAACATGTATATGATGATAACAGGAATTGCTAAAAAAAATTAAGACCGTACAACTTACAAATAGACTGTTACAAAGAACGAAGAAAGACCTGGTCCAGATAGCCCGACTTAGTGCTTACTTGCAACGAACCAATAACATGTTGCGTTCAACACGATTATGCTAGTGCAATGGGCCACCGATGCTGTAGATAATCACTATAAAGCTTATTTTAGAAAATAAACATGCTACCATAATATATAAACATCTCAGTCAAAACCGTTAGAATAGGGAATACAATTGTAAATTTGAGGTAGGGCCAATTTCCGCTGAAATTTTTTTACAGAAGGGCCAATTTCAAAAAGTGCTGAAAGAATAAAATTTACGCTAAAAACATGAAATAAAAATGTTTTTTGGTCAATATCTCGATTTTTATGTATTATGTTATGTCTGGAAAATAGTAAATTTAACCTCCAAAAAAGGATGAAAGTCAAATATGCGGAATTTACCGTGTTTTTAGGTTGAAAAAACAGGGAATCTCCCTAGAAGGACACTTCAAACCAAAACAAAGTTATGTTTTTTGTTGCTGTTGCAATTTATACAACTTTTCCCCTCAAAAATGAAATTGGTTAAGTGTGTCCTTAAAACCTAAAAAACAACTTTTTTAATAAAAAGAGGAACATCACTAAATTTTACCTATATAGCTGCTTAATATTGACTATGTTTTCAAAAGTCGCCGTGGCTTCATCGGTAGCGGTAAAAACTGTAAATAATGGATTGTTTTTAAGATGGGGTTCAAATCTCACGCTAATTTTTCTCATTTTTTATGTTGAAATATTAAAATGTTATGTTTCTATCACATTTTTTCGGATGTTTGTTTATTTCTAAGAGTCACACTGAAGTAGGTGCTTGTACATAACCAATAACACGAGAAATGATTATATAGCAATGCAGCCCAAATGTTGTGTGTGTTATACACATAACGAAAAAAGGCCATAGCAGAAAAATTTCAAAACAACAAAAATATTTTTTCTAAATCTTGAACAAGAACGTTTTAGAAAATGGTATGATATGTAACAAATGCAGACAGTAATTTTAACGCCAATCCACCAACTGTGTAGATACTAGTACTGGCATTGTTACATTGTACCACCGTCCCTACACCGGAACCTAAGTCATCAGAAAATGAAACATAGGGTCGATCCATTTGGTACAATGCCATGCAGAAAAGTCCAGATCACATGTGTTTGTTACGCAAGCCGTTCTAGTACCAACTGGTGTAAGCTGTTGTCCGGTTCATATAGACGGTAAACCTTAAAAGCTGGAACAGTGTATAGATATAGATACATCCAGATTGAGGAAAACAACATCCCAGTTAAATGCATCCGATATTTTTTAGCTTCTTGGCATTAAAACAGAGACCGATCTTGAGTCAGATTAGCTGATTTATATCAGATAATTAGATTATTAAATGTTTCTTGTATTTATATTTAACCCCCTTTTTTAAGCGCCACTTAGGGGGCATTCACTTTTTCGGTCTGTGCATCCGTTCGTTCGTTTGTCCTTCGTTCGTCCGTCTGTTCGTTCGTCCGTCTGTCCCGTTTCAGGTTAAAGTTTTTGGTCAAGGTAGTTTTTGATGAAGTGGAAGTCCAACCAACTTGAAACTTAGTACACATGATCCCTATGATATGATCTTTCTCATTTAATGCTAAATTACAGCTTTTATCCCAATTTCATGGTTTACTGAACATAGAAAATGATAGTACGAGTGGGGCATCCGTGTACTATGGACACATTCTTGTTTAATATTTTGTTAGTTTTAAGTTAAACAAAGCTGTGAAATACATGTACGCTACAAATCACCTACCAACATTAACACGCTAACTGAAGCACCATGTTTTTTTTATTTAATACAAAAATAATTTTGAATATCTATTAGTTGATAATTCATATTTTTATGCTCCTCAGGGGCATTTACAAACAAAATCAATATTGGTTTTGATAAACAAAAAAAAATCAATAGTCTTGGCCTTAATTATTGTAGGAATACCTGTTCAAGGTATGAAAATAGATGATGTGACGTGTTTTCTTATACTATAATTTGCATCTATCGGGCTATTTAAAAACATGATTTACCTAGCTAATCAAATGAAAAAAACTCACGGGAAAATGGCCCTACCTCAAATTTACCTTCAAAAATTGATTGGATAAAATGTCCATATTGAAATTGTATTCGTACTTTCAATGTCAAAACTAGGTGAATGTTTGAGGTCCAGTGGGTAATGTTCTAGCTATATAAGAAAGAAAACATATTGATGATCTATGAGTATAATAAGCAACACATTAAGCCAGGGTTTAAAACGTGTTACATACAGTGTATACAAAATAAAAAATCCAAAGAAAGATATTTCCCAAACCGCAGACACAATACTTTAACTCCCTAACAACAAATTGTTTTAACTCGAAAATGTCACATACATGTACATAGCGGACAAACATTATTTCTCTCGTCTTTGATTTTAGTCTACCATAAAAGGAACGCACGATCTCCTACATTCCAGACAAATATGCTACTGCATAAGACCATAAGCGTTGAAAAAAACGTTTCTAAAATAACCCAGATCAGGTACCCTAAATACCAAACGTTTGGTATTCAGCAAATAAACGTAAGAAAGCACTAAAATCAAAAGACTTAACAGAACAGCCAAGATTGTCTAAGGTCAACTTTGCCTATGGAAGTTACAACTTTGGCCGTTTACCAAATTCAGAAATTTTTCTATGTTTTTATCAATTCGAAAATTACGATCGAGGGGATCGGTTTCCCAAAATGGAAACTTCGCATTCTAAATTTTGATAATATCATGAATATGATGCAGGATTTTCTTAGATTGCAATGATTAATCTCGCATTTTTTTACATTTTTCAATGATCGCAACAATGAATGCAGATTTTTGAATTAACAGTACATTATTTTGTATGACCATGAAATTTACGGACACAGCATGCCAACAAAAAAGCATTGGGAATTCTTGAAGACTAATATTAGAACTTTAGCATCGGTACCCGAAGATTTTTATAGAGACCACAAAATCTTTAACTTAATATATGACAGGCAATAGAGCAATCAGCAAATTTTAGAAGCTCTCCAACTCCCTCATGTAAAGTTGACCTTAGATGTATTTGGCTATTTTGAAGGTCCTTTGTGGTTATATAGCTCTTCAACTGTTTCGGTTCTAATACATCTTTGCTTTCAAATATTCGGCTTTGATGAAGGTAATTCCAGAAAAACTCTTCGGACGCATGAAATTTATAACGTGTTGTTTTCATTTTCTATACCCAAATCGTCAAATGTAACCTAGGGTAGGTCTGGTGCATCCTTCTTTTTCAAATCCTCAATCGACAAACCTCCGGTGAATTCGTACTTCTTCTTCTGTCTCAAATCACCAATCTGGTGCTCTCCTTCTATTCGTTAGATCGAGGTGCGGAATTAGCCGAAGTTTCGACGAGTGTCATCAAGTATCTTTGAGATAATGTTCCCAATAGAGCGTATGGTTTTGGCTTTCGTTCATGATACCCAAGGAAAAGTGGTGTTTAAGTCTACTTAGGATTATCGTTCGAGACAGAACTTCTTACAGTGAAATTAAAACGTGATATGTTCATAATAAGTTAAACATAGTGCCTTTCTTATATGGTTACTAGTATTGCATGTATACCCGTATTTTTTTTTTCTAAACTGTATCAATTGCATGGTCAAAAAGGAAAGATGATGAAATCTAGTAGAATTATGAAGAACTATTGCAAATTTAAAAGTTTAAAATTAATTACACGTGCTTTTTTTGTGCTCAAACATGACCAAGTATAAAAATGTGCTCGGAAAATAACTTTAAAAAATCACAATTAACGAGGTACAATGGCAACAAACCACACGAAATTGGTAAATTTTGAATAAAATTCTGTATTATCTCCATTTTTCATAATTTCTGCACATATTTTGACGTATCTATGACGTAATAACTTTGAAATATTGGCAATGCATTAAAAGTTCTTGATGGTTGTTATGCCCTTATCTATATTATGTGCAAAAGAAGTGTTGGCATTATATTAAGCTTTATTTCTGTCAGAAATTATGACATTAGGACCTCATAATTGTGCAATCTTTTGTCGAAAACCGTCATTCTGA